TAAACTGTATTATTTTATGTAAAAAAGTTAAAAATGGAAAGAAACCCATTTCAGTACAGTGCTCTCTTGTATACATTTAGCATTTTCAAAGTATGACTTTGGAGTTCCATGAACCTGAAAACCTTTGCTAGTCACATTTTCTGAATATTCATGATACTAATATTTTATTATAAAAAATTGATGATCATTATGCTGTTAAGCATTATATAATATTGCATCAAATTGGAAGAAAGCACAATTTTGGGTGCTGCTGGCATGATGTCCTCAATTGTAAAATTGTGTACTGTTCAAGTCTGTATCCAATGGACGACACTTTGTGTTATCAAAATATAAAATTCATGATAATAAAAGAGTGCTAAATAGAAAATAAGCATTATGAAAATAAAATGTTTGAAAACGAATTTCTTTGGTCTTTTATTTTATTTCATCAGTATCCTTTCTTTTCCTAAATTAATTGATGTTTTATCTCATAATCTTCAATTCTAAAAAAGTGGCAAAGCCCAGCATTAAATATTGTATAACTGTTCATTTAATCATCACCTCTGGTGTTATTTTGGAATTTACCTTAAATATGAAAGAATTTCATAAAAATGTGAATTGCTGCAAAGTAACGCTATATAAAATTTGCTTTGCATTAAAAGTACAATCATTATTACATGTAGATGCATGCATGTCCTCGGTTGTAATGTGTAGTGTCTGTCCGTGTGTGTGTCCGTGTGTGTCCTCGGTTAGAATGTAAAATTCTTGTCAGCAAAAAATTAGTTTTTATAAAAAATTAATTTATAACATTCATACTCGAATAGATTTTACCCTAAATTGAATGTTTTTATTTTGATTTAACCAAGGAATAAGATGTCCTCGGTTGTATGGTGTTGTGCTGATGTCCTCGGTTGGTACACATAGACAAGTATGTGTGTGTGTGTGTGTGTGTGTAATAGAGAGAGAGAAAGAGCGAGAGTGAGGAGGGATTTGTGTATGTGAATGAAAGAGAGAAAAACACCGAAAAGAGAAAGACCATAAAGCAATATTTCCAAATTAGTGTTCATTCCTTTCCCTAGATACGACCCCAGTTTTCCAGTGATGGCAGCCATAACTTCATGCTGACCAACAGTAGACTGTCACGCCAAATCACAGACGGCTTTGTGGTCAGCGGACAGGAAATCACATTCAACCAATTTAATGATGTGCAAAGAGAGCGAGAAAGTCTGTTCTTCCATCTTCCTCCTCGGTTCAGAGGAGATCAGGTGAATTAATAATAATAATAATAATAATAATAATAATAATAATATTAATAATAAATATATTCATAGTCTAAAATCCATATAAAATGTTCAATAGACTTTTACATGGGTAAAATGAACAGAAACAATGAATAAAGTCAATAAATAAATTTGTGATCTGTTAATCTAGTTATATACAGTTTTATTTTATGTGTTGAAAACTGATCAAATTCAAATTTTCTGATATTCATAATCCAGGGATGGATGGATGCCGTCTTCTGGGTCTTCCAGAAGACGATCAGATTTTTTCATGTTTACATTAACTGTAATCTATCTTATTCTAGTGGAAGACAGTCAAAAATGAAAGTTGGATCAACAAAGAGAATTTGGAAGACTGTCAGAAAATATCTCTAAATCTGCCCCTGTAATCTATATATTTAATTACATATAATTTTTTTTCCGTAGACTCTTTCCTATGGCAACAAACTGAAGTTTTTCCTGTCATACAGTGTGGCCCAGGATGCAGGCAGATCCATTAATGATGTGGACTTGGAGCTGATTGTAAGATGATATTTTTAACTACAGGAGAGGAAGAAAGAGAGGGAGGAGGGGGGGCATTAACTGTGAGACAAGGACTGGGGCATATGGAACTTTAGCATTACAGAATACATTTAATACATTTTATATTCATCTGCAATTATACAGTGCTTACTGGCACCAAGTTTGGAACAAAGTGAATGTTTGTATAATAAATATTATTATGGGAAGAAAGTCTTATCTTTATTTGGAATGATCTGTTTGTTTAGTCTCTTTTTCAGTAAATAATTAATTATATTTGTTTATTCATTTATGTCATTAAAAGTTATTTATCTTTAAACCTAGAGTGGAGAAATGCGTCTGTACCATCTATTCCGTCCAGGTACCAGACCTGAGGAGAGCAGAAGGTTTGAAATACCTATGACAGAAGTGAGTTGCCTAAACTGCTAGCTATTTTGACCTTTTTATTGACTGAAGTAATATTTCAGATGGTGTTGGATGTCTTGTTTGCTTGTGAAAGAATGAATGAAATTATTTTAGAATTTGTAGCTAACTGGTTGGTAGGGAATTATGACAGTTGTTAGCACTAAATATTTTTGTTCAACACCTTTTACACTTGACAGTTTCAACAATGATATAATTACAAAATTTCATGAACCCTGTGATTCAATTTCACTTCAGTCCAGCTTCAACAGGCGAGACCGCCAGCCCATCACCAGGAAAGACTTCATGGCCGTTCTCGCCAAATTGGACGCCATCTTGATCCGTGCTACGTACCACACCCTCATGGGTCTTGCGACGTTGAGAGATTTGAGCCTGGACACTGCAGTCCCACAGAACAATGGTCAGCAACAGGTGCCCATGGTGGAGGATTGCTCCTGTCCACAGGGCTACTCTGGCCTCTCTTGTCAGGTAATAATAATAAAATAATAATTATAATAATCGAAGTTAATGAAATAAATTATAAAAATTATAAAATTAGTTATGATAGTAATGTAAATGATAATTATTAGTAAAAAGTAGTGATAATCAAGCTGGTTATCTTAAAGATCATCATGATAATTACTATGGTAATGAAAATAATTGTAGTAATAAAAAATTCAAATTTAAGTAACTGAAGAAAAATATATCTATTAGTAAAATGCTCAGCATGAAAATAATTTTATTATAATTTTCATGTTATTGTTGCCTTATATTTTTATTATAAGACCTGGCAACATTTTATGTCATAATAAAAGAAGAAAGAGACAGACTAAAGAATAACGAGTGATATTTCAGCTGTGTGCCCCTGGCTATACCAGAATTGCAGATCCTAGCTACCCGCTTGGAAGGTGTACGAGATGTGAATGTCATGGGCATGCCTCTGCCTGCAACGAGGAGACTGGAATATGTCTGGTAGGTATTAGGAATAGAATTACATAGTGTCCAGCCTGCTAATGTAATTAAGAGCCCATTCACTTTGTAAAAATATGGTTGATTTTATTCAGCTTGCAATAGGGAGGCAGGCATTTGTGTGGTGGGTACTGAAACAGAACAGCCTGTCCTTATGTCTTTTCAGCAATTTACCTGTTTTAATTATTTTTTTAAAGTTTAAAGCCCCTCTTTTGTACACATGTATCTTATTAACTTTTTTCAACAATAACCAGATTTAATGCTACTTTTTTCTCTCCACAAAGAACTGCCAACACAATACGGAGGGTGCGCGCTGTGACCGTTGTATTGATGGTTACTATGGCGATGCTACCATAGGAACACCCAATGACTGTCGACCATGTCCTTGTCCTCTGACCATTCCATCCAACCAGTGAGTGACAGTGCTACACATTTCTAGTAGTTTTATTAAGGAAATGTATTGGTTTTTTTGGTCGGTCACATATTTTTAACTCTAAATTGATATATTAAGAGATCTTTATGTTTTAAGACATACATCTTTTCATATTGCATTGTCCATTTTTTAAAAAATTATTTGTTATCAAATAAACGAATTGCAAATTCTCAAATGATTAAAGCCATTCAACATGTTCAGGTAATTGAGTTGAAATTCTGAATATTGTCTGTAATATGTCTTTATTTCAGGTTCTCCAGGACCTGTCACTTGGACCCTGATGGTCAAGTCACATGTGACCAGTGTCCTGTAGGATATGTAGGCAGGAACTGTGAAAGGTCAGTTGGAGATGAGAGCCTTCTGGATTTTCCCAAAAATATTGCGCTGTTGACCCCAGGTTCTCCCATATATAGCTGTGCTCCTGGTGTTTCTTGAATTATTTTGCCCTCTGCTCGCAGTTTTATTCTTATGAACAGGCACATTGTCTGCACTCAGAACATCACTACTTCTATAAATTTTTAAGAGTTATTGATTCTTAGAACTGAAATAAAATCTGTAAAAGCATACAATTTCTCATTGATTGTTTTGCTTTTTACACAGAAAGCATTTAGTTTCTCAACAAATCTTTCATTGTGCTTTGAGGTCCTCTGATAGATTTTGAAATCATATTCCAGATGTGCTAATGGATATCAGGGCAATCCACGCCAGGCAGGGAGTAGATGTACTCCAGTTATTGGTGAGAGAGAGAGTGAATGAGAGATGATTTGTTTTTATTCAGATAATGTAGAAAGGCAATGTCAGTTAAATGTTATTGAATAAATCTTAAGAGGAACATATCTTGGTAACAGAGTACTATCATATTTCACTCTATTAATGCACTTATTGTTGACTAATTCTGACCAAACCTCTTCACAGAAACATGGAACATCTTATTTCTGAACCGCACAATTTTATACTTTCAATATCTGACTTTTCTCTTCGCACAGTTGTCCCTGATGTTCAGGTTGTCCCAAAGAGTATTACGGAGTATGTGGGCAGCACGGTGCGATTCGACTGCTCAGCGCGGGGACCAGGAGTTTTCACGGTGCGCTGGACTCGTTCAGGAGGTCTTGCTCTACCCCAAAGAGCCAACGTAGCCAATGATAACTCACTGACCATCCGCGATGTCCAGCAACCTGACCAGGGAGAGTATATTTGTACTGTGTCCACAGTGGACGGAGGGAGTAAGAGTGACACAGCTAGACTGCAAGTCAGAGTCAGTAAGTGATGTGATTTATGGTGATAATTAACTATTGACAACCACTGATTTGATGTAATCATTAGTTTGACATAATTGATTTGACTTCTGATGATTGCCTAATATTGATTCAATTGATCTGATGTAGTTGATTACATTAACCTAATATTGATCTGATTTATTATGATTTCATGATATTTTTCTACTGATAATGAAAAGTAATTCTCATTGAAACAGTGTGGTTGCAATGTACAAATTGGAGTTCTTTGATGTTACCAAAAGTCTAGAAAATTGTTCAATTTCTTTTTGAGGAAACACCCAAGAAGCAGGCAATCATGACATTTTATGTTCTGTAGTTTTAATAGCTTTAGTTTTGATTTTTGATATACGTCTACTGCACCTATCACAAATGTTAGTCTAGAATGTTTTATATAATAAAGTACAGTACTTGGCCTTTTACAAAATAATTGGATATGTGTTTCTGACTGTTGTTGTGAACAAGTCTCACATTTTACAGTGACAGTCATGACTAGGGTGTAAAATAGAGATGGCGTGCTTTGGACTTCAAGCTCGGGGTAGATTTTTTAATGTTTTCTTAACAAATTGTCACCATTCACTTTCCACTATTATAGGAACAGATATCATTGTGGTCCGTGTTGAAGAACCCAAGCAGCAGACAGCGTTGATTGGAGCAACTATTCGTTTCATTTGTTCTGGTATTAGCCAGGTTAGAGATGTATGTGTCAGATTTGGTAGTTTTCTTCCCTTCTTTTCAATAATTATCTTCTCTGGGGATTTGTATGAGGCTCAGAACTCACAGAAAAGCTGCCTTGACCTTTAACCTTAATCCCAACTTGAGGAAACCCAAGAAATAGAGTAAGTCACTAATTAAAAATCCCTCTAAAATTTTCTAATATGTCACTAATGTGAAAATCTACCAGTTGGTAGATTTAAGATTACGAGAATATGTTCTGCTACAAACATGTTGCAGATGAGGGTAAGTTTAAATTATATTTTGAATTTTTTTTTAACAACTAACTTTAACTTACTGGTTTATACTGATACAACTACCATGGACTTTTTTATTTAACTTTGTGTCACTTAATAACATGGCAGCTTTTCTGTATCATGATGGAACCTCAACAAAACCCCACAGAGCACAGGGATAGTTGGAGCATGTTTCTTATGAAACCTGTTTTTTTTTCTGAATATGATAATTTTATTATCAGAATTATTTATATAAGTCAATAAAACAGTCAAATTTAATAGAACAGAAATGGAACAGATGATGTTGGTAAACTGCCCAAGTGGTTTACAGTAATGGGACAAATTTGAGAGACTATTGGATAAAAAAAACTCCTTTAAATTATGGGATGGAGGGGGGTTGCCACACATGCTCCAACACCCCATGTTGCATAATTACCAGACATAAGGCATGGTCAGTTTTAGACCTACAACCTGTTTCACATGAAGAAAAATTTGGGGACATCGCTTATACAATGTATACTGCTGAACTAGGATTGTTTGAATTGTGATAGAACTAAGAACATTTTCTCAATACTTGGATCAATGTGCATGATGTTGACCCACCTTAGTGGGTTATTGTCATTGATCAGAGAAAAAAAGATTGTCAAGTCCATCACAATATGTTTTGAAGGCTTAGAAGAATATTAAGCAAAGCAAGTTAACCGCTTAAATTCTTCATGAAACAAGACTTGGTCAAATAAATCTGCTAGCAGTCTTTGTCAAAATTTTCAAATTAAAAAAATTTACTTCTGTGAAGCAGGTCCCTTAACTCGAACTGGTTTGGGTGAAAGTGGTCTGATAATCTGGGACACGACTTGGTCTTTCCAGATATCACATCAGGTAGCTGTTGAATATGGTTCACGGACCAGTCGCCATCAATTTCAGAGGTGCGGGGGAGGTTTTGTTCTGTAAAAGTGGCCCATTGTAACTTCTAATTGAATTGAGCCAATTGGACAAATGGCATAGAACCACATTTTGATGTAGATTGGCCCTTCTATGGCCAAAAACTTTCTCTCCCCCACCCCAATGAATCTTCCCAACCTACAGGACTGTGCCCTATGTAATTTCATTGCCTGGTGACCCATGTGACTTCTGAACCAGTTTGGGTTTAAGTGTGGGTCTAAACAGTCAGCATGACACTCGGTGGTGCTGCTGTGCTCAAGTTGATTCGGTGCTGGTCACACAATGAAATATCCGGATTGAAAGTTGATCTCAACTATAAGTTCAAAATATTGTGTCTGTTTTGTAACAAGAAACTAATGAATGTTTGAAACAAAAGTAACCGTTACTTTGTTTTAGTAAACTACTTAATGAGAAACTAGACAAACATTTGGGGTGTTAAAGTTGAGACCTACTTTCAGTTTTAATATCTCTTGTGGAACTAGCCCCAGGTGCTTTGAAACACCATGGAATAATTTTACAATTAATATTATTCAAATTTTTAATTGATTTTTTCATGGTGTTTCATAACTGTATGCATTAAGTGACCAGTAATTTGCTAGTACAAGGACTAGATATCAGTTGGAGATTTATTATGTAATGATGCTGTTTTTAAATTCAGATTTGATCATTTTTTCCTAATGTTTTGACAATTTGAATTATAACTGTATATTTCACAATTCCTGGAGAAATCAGATCATGTAACAAATTAAGATGTGAAGAATTTTTGATATCTAGTCCTGTAGATAAATTACCTGTAGTTAAATTGTTTAATTATTTCATGGGCTAATTTTGTTAATGTGTTGACTTTTGATAGGAATAATTGGTTGATGGTGGTTAATTGCATCTGTTTTGGCAAAGGGCATGTTTACACACACTTTATATAGTGCTGTGGTGAAGGAAAATGAATGACAATTTTGTAATCAATTGGATCTTTGTGTCCGGAAATTTAAACCAAGTGAATTCATCTCATTATGTTTCACTATTGTGACTTGATGAATAGTATTGAAACAATTTCAGTTGCTTCCAATTTTTATAATCAAATTAAAATTTCATTAAAACTGTGTGTCTAAACATGCCTATGGTTTGACAAATGGCTTAATGTTAATGTTTTTATTTTGATTGACATGATTAATGAATTATGGTGTTGTGTTTAACTTAAAGTCGGGTGGGAGGGCCTTAATTTTCCCCATTGCTTATATAATTTCGATTTTTTTTCTCTGTTTCTTTGGCACTTATTTTTTCCAATCACAGCATTAGCACACTAGCTTAGTAGTGCACACCTTTAACTCAAGAGGCTTGTAGAGTAGCAACTAGCATATGTCATAGTGCTTTTGATAGTTGATTTATATTAATATATTGTATTTGATTGGTTAATGTAGTTAAAAAAGCACAGTAGAGAGTTTTCATCAAGCACTCTTAATATCCTGCTGTAGATTTAAATGTTTTATGTTTGTATGTCTGTCTATCTGTCTGTCTGTCTGTTCTTTTGTTTGTCTGTCTGCCTGTCTGTCCATTTATTTTATATGAATATTTTTGTCATCAGTAATACAAATGATAAATGTACACTCACTTAACAAGAACTATTAAATAATAATAATAATAGGAACTGCTGTTTAAAAGTAATCGCCTGCAATGTGCTTTATTTAATGTCATAGATACTAAGAATTAGGTTAGCTCAGATTTTTTGTTTAATTGGAAATACTGAAATATTATAGATACTGCTGTTTAAAGTAATTGTCTGCACTGTGCTTTATTTAATGCTATAGATATTAGGAAATAGGTCAGCTCAATTATTTTATTTATATTAGAAAAATTAAGTTTGATTAGGGTATTTGCTAGATTGGTGTGTCTTTCGGGCGTCTCATTGTTTTAGAATAAAGTTTGCCATTTGTACATACATTTTTAATGTTAGACTAAACATTTCTTTCGTATAGTCAGCTTTTTAAGTATAATAATAGCTGGCAGCTAATAATTTTTTTTCTTTCTATTTTGAGACTTCAACTTAAAAATCCATGTTGTACACGAAAGATTTTGTTTAGAAGTTCATAACAATATAAAACTAGTATTGCATGCCAAATTTGGACTTATTTTTGAAGTTCATGTTATTGCATAATGGTTTTGTTAAAGGAAGTTGGGTGATCCAGCTGTTAGCTTTTCTGTTGTGTTTGCAAGATTTGATTGGTTTAACAATTATAAATTTTAAGGAAAATAGTTTTACTAAAACTCTTATTTCCAATGTAAAAAAGCAGTGAAGAACTACTTTTGGTGAACAAAATGTGGTAAAAATAAAAAGCTTTTAAAGCCATTATTGGACTTAAAGGGATAATAACTCTTCGTTTTGTCCAAAAAATGAATTTTCCTGGAGTAACCAACAATTTTCCCATACTTACCAATGGTTAATGAATCCATTTTTACATTCAAAGTAAGTCCCTGGTTTTTTTCTAAAAAGTTTGGTTTTTTGTTAAAATCTCTTAAGAGATTTTAACAGAGTATTGCCATCAATGGAGGTCACGTGGTCTAAAGACAAGCTCAGATATCAGAATAATAGCTATAACTGCCGTTTTTGTGGTAAAACAGAATATATTATATTTCTATGAGTTATTCACAATGTTTTTATTGTGAAATATAGATTTCATACGAAGAGTTATTATCCCTTTAAAATTCAGTCTAATTAATGACATATCATCCTCCCTCTTGGAGACTTTAAGCAGCCTCCTGGGAACAGTTAGTCAGTGTATAAGATAACACAAAAAGTTCTTCACAAAATTTTATGTAAAATACCAGGATAGACAGTTATTAAGGAGGGAAAGAAATTTAAACTGCATCCAGGTGCCCTAGTCATTTATTTGAGTTTTTTTCTTAAACCTTAATTGGCTGAGATCTTCACTCTTTTTACTGGATCTCAATTAAGAATTGTACATCATGCTAGACTATTTTTTCTGCCAGCTGTATTGCAATTGAAGTTAGGTAAAAAATGCTATTTTGTCACCTGGTTTACTAACTTTAGCAGCTGTATTGCAAACTGTATGTTTTGAAATGTCAATTAACAAGATTTAGATAACAGTCATTTTGTGTGCTTTTGAATGCACAGAAGCTTCTTAGTCATTTTAACATTTTGCAGCAAAATGTCTTCTCTTAAGTTTGTCTTTTATTCTGTTATAATCTAACCATACTTTTCTTCTTTTACTCTTTGGAGAATTTGGGAGTGAAGTGTTGGTAATATATTTTTGAAAGTAATATATTTTTGTTAGAGACACTGTAGGATATTACATATAACTAGACCACTTTACAGCTAAAAATTTGTTATTTGTAAGAAAACCCTTCGATTATGCATAGGGGTTCTATTCTCAACTATTTCGATATATATGACTTGTTCCAAATCAAAAACAAATCTTAAGTTAAAAGTTTCCCCATGCTTCCCCTGACCTTTTATTTCAGGTCCTGAATTTAGATGTGAAATTTTGCTTTGTAAAAACACTCTTTAGATTTTTATTCATTTGTCAGCTTCTGTGGTAGTGATGTTGTTTTAAAGATAAAGTTAAACTGTAAAAAGGGCAGATAGCTTTAAATGAGTCCATTTATTTCTTAAGCAATTAAACTGTAATGATAGATAGCAACACTTTTTTTGTCTGACATTTTGTTTTTTTGTTGTGTATACATAAGACATCTCAGTGAGAAGAGAAGCTTAAGTCACAATATTCTATATTATAAATTACCCCAGTATGTTAAGGTAGATTTTTATACATATTTTAATATCTTATAGGATTGCATTATTTAATATGGCAGCATTCATATATATATAATAAGTATAAAAGCTTTAACCATAATACCCTGCAAATGTTTTTACTTATCTATATGTTTATTTATCTGTTTTAATATCTTTCCCTTAATTACCTGCAAATCTATTTCCATCTCTTCAGAGCACCTACACAATTGCTTGGACAAAACAGGGTGGTCGTCTGCCAGTTCAGGCCACAGACGAGAATGGAATCCTTACCATCCGCAATGTCCAGCCTGTGGACTCTGGAGTGTATATCTGTACGGGATCCAATCTCTTCAGTGTCGATACGGACGAGGCCAGACTGACAGGTATGGTAGCCAATGTTAATTGTGTGTGATAAGCTTTTACTGCCCAATGGTCACTCAGAGACATATATGTAGCTAAGAAAACTACAAGTTTGATACAAAATGTACAATTCTTGGGTGAAATCTATTGTATTTAATCTGTTAAAAGTCTGGAAACTGTCATATCACAGGAAATTTACCCCAGCACATCTAAACTGAGTGACTGAATGATTTATTTGTGGCTTGAGATTAAATATAATTTTGTTTACTGTCCAACGTAGACTTCAAATAGTTTTTTTGTCAGAATACATTTGTACATTAGGTATTTCTTGTATTCTGTTTAAAAATAAAGTGAAGAGAACAGGTAAATGTTACAATGCACCATTTAGAGTTAAGTAAGTTATTATTATTGTTATTTTTATTATTATTAAATCACATTTATTATAACTATTATTATTATTATTATTGTCATTACTATTATTTAATCAATTATTTTATTATTATTATTATAAATATATTACATTTCTGCAGTGACTGGTGAACAGCCGAATGTGAGGATAGAGCCCCGCTATGCCACTGTATATGAAGGGGAATCTGTGGAGTTCAGATGTATCGGATCCGGCTCACCAACGCCTACCTTGTCCTGGTCTGGGGGACGTTTCAGCCAGGGTGTGGGCACATTCAGAGGAGGTGTCTTTCGCATTAACTCTGTGTCCTCTGAGGATGAGGGTCGCTACACATGCACAGCAAGGAATAACGCAGGACAGAGCAGTGTGGAGACAATACTTTATGTCAGACGTAGGCATCATGGAATTATTTTTATATATATGATTTATATTATTTTTATAAAGATTTGAGGTTTTTAAGTATGTGTGTACATGCATCTGTGCATGTGTTCATGAGTGTGTATAAATAGTACGGGAACAGTTTTGTATTATGAAAGGGTATATTTGTAACTACATGTGGATAATTTTATAATTAATATAATAAATTTTGTCTTAAGAAATATTGATATTTTAATCTAATCAAGAAATAGTTGAAATTAAAAGCATGAAATACTTTTAACATTCATCAGTAAAACATGTTCTCTCTACTCTCAGACAGCAATTTGATAACCCAAGTCACCCTTCATATCATGGGACAAAATATTGTTTTCAGAGAGACCATTGGTGGTAAACAACACATACGCAGTGATCAACAACCCGAGAATCAGGGTAACTGTAGGAGGCAGGGTGGTGCTGCAGTGTTATATCAGGAATAATGTGGCTGGAACCATCCGTTGGACCAGAGCCCAGGGATCTTTGCCCATTGGTGAGCTATTTATTTATTTATTTATTTATTTATTTATTTATTTATTTATTCTTTTTGTCAGCAAGATGGTTGAATGAAAGAAAGAAAAGTTCAGTTCTTGTATACTGCACTAGACATAGATGCCTTGGAAATCTTGGCCCTGAAACATCCGTACAAAATGCAAAGTAAAAAATTCTTATTTGAATATTTTAAGGTAATTGTTATTAACCAAATTTTAAGGAAGTGTTGATACGTGTGTGTTTGTTGTTCTGTTTTCTCAAAGGTTACTTTTGTCATTTTGAATTAATAAAACTTGTTTTAAAAAATTTTTTTTTGATTTCATGGAAAATATTTCAGCATTTTAAAATTTCACATTTTTCCTTTGGATCCGCCCAAATGCCCAGCAAGAGTCCACCTGTGTTTAAAGCCATTATCTTTTCATATTGACTGACCTGTATTAATCCTTAGGTTCCACACAGTCCAATGGTCAACTGGTCATCCCTAATGCCCAGCCAGATGCAGGTGGAGAATACATCTGTGAAGTGGTCACTGACACTGGCATCCGAGGCAGGAATATTGCTATTGTAGAAGTCAGCGTTGTGGTCGGTAAGTTTTTAAAAATTTATGTTAGATGTTCTTACTGACACTGGCATCCGAGGCAGGAATATTGCTATTGTAGAAATCAACGTTGTGGTTGGTAAGTTTTTTTTAATGTGTTATGAAATGTTTTTTCTGATACTGGCATCTGAGGTGGGGACATTGCTACTGTAGAAATTGGCTTTGTCACTGGTATGTACTTTTACTGTTCCATGATATGTTGCAACTTAAAGTGGAATTTGTTCAGGAACTTTCTAAAGTCTCTTTATAAAGTCAGCACTGTTATTGGTAATTTATTTTTGTTTCATGATGTGTTATCACTAAAATTGACCTCCAAGAAAAGAATGTTGCAATTGAAAAAATTTATTGTATAGGATTTAGTTGCAGTTGTTGTTGTTAAGTTTTTACTGCTACATCATGATTCTGGCACCATATCAGTATTGTGCTGGGTAAGGTGATTATTTAGAAAATAATAAGATGAAGCCAAAATTTGTTCTATGTTACTGCAGACTCCAGCACAGCACAGCAAAAGAAAAAGAATTAATTGTTTGTGATTATTACAAAATATTAATACAATGTTTACTTCTGTTCTCCCTAGCCCCCCAGATCACTGTAGAAGCCAGCACAGTCAGAGGTACTGAGGGTTCCTCTGTTATCCTGAGATGTAATGTGGTAGGAACACCGCAGCCTACAGTGACGTGGAGCAGGGTGGGAGGACAGCTGACCAGCAACCACAGGGTGAGAGACATCTAGACAGAGTTTTAGAACTGACTCCTGTTTGATTTCAAATCTTTATACCTGCCTGCTTGTTATGTTAAGACTTCAGTGGTTTAATTGTCAGGTTTCTTTTAGTTGTCAGTCTCTCATAGTAAATTTAAACCATGTGGACTGCATCAGTTGGGTACATTGCTTGACGGAAAAAGAACCAAAGTTTCTTAGCCTGTCACCTTTAGGCAAAACAATTGTAAGTGATAAATTAAACTTATATTTGTCAATTTGTATCATGTTCCCTAGCAACAGAATTTACTGAGAATTATTAAGGATGATTAAGAGTCAGAGACTATGTTTGACCTCTTTGCAAATCCTTTCACTTTTGCTACAGTCTATATGGAAAAACTGAAAACAAGTGCTGATAAGTCCACTTTGTCTTCCAGCGTCTAGGCAACACATTGCAGATATTGAGGGCGACCCCACAGGATGCTGGGACATACGTATGCACAGCTGAGAATCGTGGGGGCACAGCTCAAGCCTCCATCAGCGTGACAGTGGAGCGTATGTATTTTACTACATGGTGTTTGTATTAAAGGGAATTTCACTCGCCTCTTAATATATAAATTATAAATGGTCCATTAGCACCCCCAGTGTGACCGCTGGCAGACTCATGGTTTTGGTCCCAACCTTCCCTGTCCTGATTGGATGGGAAAAACACAGATAGGATACATTAATCCATCCTTTGTTTTTTACTTACAGGAAGTGGCATTCCACCAAGGATTGAGATCTCTCCATCATCAGGTCAGGTGATCAGACCAGATGGTACTGCCCTCTTTAGGTGCCGCGCAGTGGGAGGCAACCCCCAGCCGTCTATCAGATGGACCAGGTGGCTGTGTCTTTTTGAAATCACATATCAGGCTGTTCTTATGTTAGGAGTGTTACAGAAGTGTTTTTTAACAAATTAATTACAGTTGTTGATATTATTTTACTGCTGTTTTATCTACAATACTCACTGTTCTGATTTTATCATAATTATTATTATTATTATTATATTATTATTTTTCATGATATTGTTTAAATCTGGTGGTCCATTCCTCTACAACGATCATAGCCATATACCACAAAAGTTATGAACATATTTGATAAAAGTTTCAAAAAACATTTATCTGGGATAGTCATCATGTTAAAAGAACAGTGTTGACAATGTAAGTAACATTTACATTAGGGCTGGTGGACTGCCATTCACTGCCAATACCCGGGTCACCCCTAATGGAGACCTGCAGTTCTTCCGTATCACTCAAGCAGAGCAGGGGACCTATGTTTGTACAGGATCTAACAGCGCTGGGACTGTTACAGCAAGGGTCTCTGTCACTCTCTCTGGTAGGTCCACATCATTGGAAATCTTCCCACAGTCGTAATTAGACACAGAAACAAGCAAGTTCAGGTTTTAAATCTGTATTACCAGATTTTGTGATGAGTCCTCTATCGAAGTGAAGCTGTGAAGACTCATTTTAAATGTTGACTGAGTTCTGGCCTGTTCTAGAACCTACTTGTTGGTTTAAGGAGAGTAGAATTTGATTAAGGCCCCCAGAAATAACCACTCAAACCACTTTTAACCAAGTGATCAACTAGAATTAGATGTGTATTGAGTTTAATTATCACTTTCCTGCAGGTACAGCACCATCCATTGGAAACCTACCAACAGAACCTGTCAGAGTACGTGTTGGCCAACGAGTGGAGTTTGAGTGTACTGCCAGCGGTGACCCAGTGCCAAGTGTCTACTGGCAGACAGAGGAACAACGGCGGAGACCCTCTTCTGTCCAACCTTCCATTCAGCCTAGGAACACTGCCATTTTCAAAATTGAGTCTGTCTCTTTCGCTGATGCTGGCACATATTACTGTATAGCTTTCAATGCCGCAGGGAGGTCAGAAGGCAGTGTGCGACTAATAGGTAGACATTTATCACTTGGGAAAAGAAATCTGTTAGTTATAAGATATACAAAAACAAATTGTTAAAAAATCAATAGAAGTAGAGGTTTTGATCTTTGCCTTATATGCACCAAACAGAAACTGTTTTGTATTTAGATAAATAAGGCTAGAAGGAAATAGCTGAATTAGGGGAAAGATTAAATGATTAGGATTTGTTGCATATAAGAGGGATGTAATGAAGTGATATCTCCATTGGAATATAAAGAAGTATATTGTTTGGGAAAGTGAGAAGTGTATAATTTTCTTTTTCAGTCGAGGGTGGCCGGGAACCACCCATAGTTGTACCGGGATCTCTCCAGTCTCGTTATGAAGTCAACGTTGGAGACAGGATCACCATGCGTTGTGTTGCAAGAGGTTAGTGCACCATTGTTTCAGTGATTATGTATGATAAGTGCTACATTCAAAGGTGGTCTGGTAAAAAATTTCCTTCAGTGGAACGCCTGCAGAAAAGTGCTATTTTTGATAATATGACTGTGATTTCTTGCCACTTATTTGAAAGCAATTGCCTCTCTAAACGTATGAAAATACTTCATTTTAGAATTGATTTCATAGTTTTGATGTTACACTTGATGAAGTTTGGCATACTTTCAACAAAACGATAAATGTGAAATTCAGAATGTTTTGTAAACTCTCTTTAACAATCCTACTTTTCAAATTTAAGCAGTTTACATATAGAGTGTTTCACTTGTTAAATTTTGATGTTTAAAAAAATCTGAGTATTGAGCAAAGATAAAAATAGAATTTAACTTTGGGTAAATGGAAGTGATTAATTATGAAATTTAAAACAAAATTAATGATTTTATTTCTGTTTTTAAAACTAAATCTGAATTTCTGAACCAAATATTTTTTCAGGTGACCCACAGCCCCGTTACCAGTGGATCAAACGAGGTGGTTTGTTGCCACAGCAACACTCTCTTGTAAATGGTGTGCTTGAGCTGCGTAACATCAGGCTGGAGGATGCTGGGAATTATGTCTGTATTGCCTCTAATCAGTGGGGTCGTGCAGAGCACACGGTGGAACTCATTGTAGCAGGTGAGGAAAATAATTTATCATGGACCAGTTTATTTTTCCTTGACTGTTGATGAATCAATATAAGTATAAAAGTGATGTTATGTTAGCTTTGTAAAATGAAAGGTAAATTTGCTCACATTTTAATCCAATATCAACTTAAAAATATGTGTAGTGGATACCAGATTAATCCTAAGGTGAGGTAGAATTAAGATTTTTGGTTATTAGTTATTATTTTTTTGGTCATGACAAGTTCTTTCGTGGAATCGGCTCCAATTAAAATATAATTAAGGTTGTGGCCAGGAAGAATATTTCTACAGAGGAAAAGTGAAGAAGATTTTTAAAAGCCTCATGCATGGATACTTTATCAACATGGAAATTTAGTGAAAGAACTCGGCCAGAATAGAAAACAGTCTAACATTTTGATTTTTAAACATATTTTTTTGAAAAGAGAGGAAAATTCAGGAACCAAAATATTTTATATACTCTTTAGTTGAATTAATAATGCTTTTTAGAATTTATCTATCCACTATGTATGTCTGTCTATGTAGTAATTAATTTATTTATTATTTATTTATTAATTTGCCATGAAGGACGTCCTCAAGTGTCACTGACCACCTTTGATCAGACATTGCGGACAGGAGACAGGATGAGGCTGATTTGCCGAGCTCAGGGAACGCAACCAATCACAATTGAATGGTTTAAGGTAAGTAAAGAAAGTGGTAGGAGATTATGGGAATGTTTTTATTTCTTTAGGGTATCTTACGTGACCTATAACTTTGTTTTGAATTTTTTTTTCTGTATAATATGTTTTTACTTACATTTTGACATGCTGTGTTTGTTCATTGCCAGTCTCAGCTGAATTTTAACTGTCTATATTTAAATAAATATTTATTGTTTATTTTGGCATTCATGACATTGAAACATAATATTCTTGATTTGAATGTATTCATCTTCTCTAGACAATTATTAATAAATGATTTCCATCCTGGCTGCTTTAGGATGGTGGTATCTTGTCGTCATCAGCCACACAGAGAGATGGAGTATTGGAAATTTTCCCCGTGACCCTGGCTGATGCAGGACGCTACCGTTGTGTGGCAAGAAACAGGGCCGGAGAAAGTGATGCCTATGTCACTGTCAGAGTTATAAGTAAGTGGTATAGTAACACTATATGACATCCTACCTAACATTTCCATTATAAAATAGTTAAATTATTTGGCTTGTGATATTTTAGAGGCAAATTTGTTATGAATTTCAATGGGAAATATTTTTCCACTTATCAGAAAATGCACTTGTAGTAAACCTATTTGTTTGTTAAAGTTGTTTTGCACTGAAAATTGCTGTAGTTTTATCAGTCTTTCGTCAGAAATGTTACATTGGAATTTGTTTTAAATGTATAGAATCTCTTTTAAAGAACAAAGATGCTGAATACAAATGCATTTTGGCCATTAGTAGGAACCAAAAACCCTTCATAATCAAGTAAATCATATTTGAACCTTAATAAATTTATATTATAAATTTATGTTTATATTATAAATGACAAAGCTAGGTTTAATTCTTTAATGTTTTCTCACTGTAAATATTATTTGATGTATTGTCAGTATAAATATACATTTTCTTTTAATTACACAAGGTGCCCCACAAATCATTCCTCCTCCCAGTAATCGGGTCACTGTGGATGTAGGTCAGCTTGTTGAACTGCGCTGTGACTTTAGGGGGAACCCACCACCCCGCGTCACCTGGAGTAAAGAGGGAGGAAGCCTGCCTGTGGACCACACTGTCATGAATGGAGTGTTGAGGTATGGAAGGCAAGGATGGGATGGGGAGAAAGCATGTGTGTGTGTGCATGCATATGTGTTCGTTTGATGTGTGAGAGATAGAGAGAGAGCTGGAAGAAAAAGGGAAAGAGAGAGTGTAAAAAGAAAGTGTTTATGTGTGTGTGTGAGAGAGAAAGAGAGAGAGAGGGAGAGAGAGAGTGGAGAAAAAGGGAAGAGGGAGTGTCAAAGAGACAGATGGAGATATAATCAGATACAAATTTTTAAAACATGAATAAAGCAGAAAATTTTCAGAATTTTTTTTTCTGGAGAACACATGTAGGGAATCACCAATAATATATATCATTTTCATTAATTTTCTTATTGGCATGAACAGCTCCACAAAATCACTGCCATCTATAACAATTTTTCCTTGTGTACAATTTCCTAGAATTTACAATCCTCGTGAGGAAGATGCTGGGCGCTATATATGTACTGCTGTCAATGAAGCTGGACAGGGAACATACTACTGGTTTGTTAATATTGCAAGTAAGTGGTCATGTTTCAGTTTATGAAGATAATTGGCTATCCTGTGAGGATAATATATTGAATTTCAGTTTCTGGACTCTTTATATCTCTTGATTTACGATGCTGTGACTATATTGCTATGTCTAAACATCTTGTCAAACTATACTTATCTGTCCCAATCTAGGCCTTGATCAAACATTTCAAGTAAAAGTACCTAATTTTGATTTCTTCTGAGTTACCAGGAAGACATGGAAGCAGTTGATATGAACAATGATTAATGTAGAGCGAACTTATTTAATCAGAAATAGTAGAAAATGTCCAATCCATACCAAGAGTTGAACAGTGATTTGTGAGGTGAAAATTGCTGTTTTTTAAGAAAAAGGCACAAAAGTTCTACATGAATTGGTGCTGACCAGCATTTTGTTATTATGATTTCAGGGAGAATCTCTGTGGCCTACCCAGTATTAGAATTGGTGAATGAACGTTATTCCATTGGGGCTACTGTCCAGATAAGGTGTCTACTGAGACCAGGTGGGTGCAGGGTCATCATAAGTTGGGGGGGGGGAGGATATAAAATCAAATCTCCACCAAAACAAATGTTCTTGGATATTGAAGAAACACTTAATCTAATTGATGAGAAGGGACAGTTTTGATTATTAAAGAGGGATGCTGCTAATCTTTTCTGTTAAGCTGCATAACTTACTGCAAAATATGCACACAATTCATTATACTCTTTTACATTTATCAGAAAATTCTGTTTACATATAATCATAAATGAATCATACTGTAATAAAAACAAAATGAACTTCTGATAAAATTCTATTTAGGTTTCACAGATAGAGAAAGAGAGAAACAAAATAAAACAAGTGTATGAGAAACTGTAAACTAAAATGGAGTTAAGTGATAACAATCAATACAGTATTCATCAGTATTGAATAAAATACAATATACAGAAAGTAGCTAACAGTAGACAATAAGAATGTGAAAATGATTTTACTCCAGGCACTGATCCTGCTGTGGTTGCAGCAACCAACCTACGCTGGGAGAGGATAGGTGGTCAGTTACCCCCTGGGACCACCACTTATGATGGAGAGCTGGTCATCACCAATGTCCAGCCAGAAGATGCTGGAGAGTATGTCTGTGTGGCGTCTAATGTGGCAGGAGTGGCCAATGCTACGCTTACACTCAGGATAGAAGGTCAGCTTTATAATGATAAAAATGATATTAATAATACACAGAAATGATAAAAATATAATAATTTATGTAATAAATATAATATTATAAATATAATGATAATAAACATAATAGTAACAATAATAATAATGTAATAACGATAATTTTATTTTTTTTAATACTACATTTAATCTCTTTTTAAAAAATGTACTTTCTCACCATCCTTGCACAAGAGAGAATGATAAACCCATTTCCCCAAATTTAGCTGTTCTTTATTGCCCTATATTGCTCTCTATCCAGGCATACCAAGCATCACGGCCCCAGCAGACCCCAAGTACAGTGTAGCACTGGGGAAGTCAGCTACCTTGACCTGTGAAGCTTTCGGTGCCCCACCTCTGGATATCATGTGGGACAAGAAGGGGGCGGAGCTACCTAGGTGAGTCAAGGAATGTAGGGATAGTTTAAAATATGGGACAAATAGGAGTGGAGTTATCTAGTTGGTTTTAGGAAAATGTAGGTACAGTTTGAAGTGCGGAACAAAAAGGAGGCAGAGCTACCTAGGTGAGTCAAGGGAAATATAGGAATGACTTGAAATGTTACGTGTATAGGACACTTCTTGAAAATAATCTAACAAAATGAAAAAATAATTTGTATTAAAGCTTGCGTTTATTATAAAATAAAAGCCTTTTGATGTCTGCACTTTGTCTGCAAAGTAAAACCTGTCTTAATGCTGACTAGTTTTGTGCATTAGTAACTAAAATATGAACTGCATATAGAAATTATTTTTGTTCCTGATGCCTCTAAAGGACAATAATTATCTTACAATTCACTCTCTAACGACAATATCTCCAGGGATCGCAATGTAGACCGTGGCCGCCTGACCATCAATAATGTGAAGACAGAAGACAGTGGTGTGTATGTATGCACTGTTAAAAATCAGTATGGAACAGCCACACAGGAATATCAGCTGCTTGTGCAAGGTGAGTAGAAATAAAATACAGGGATGTATACTATGCATACTAGGAGAGTACTGCTGATAGAACAGGCAGTTCCGCTGTTATGTACTTGATTTGGAAGAGCTAGCACATTTTGAATATACCGATTCACATAGAGGCCGTTCCACCATTTCAGGAATATGAGAATTGCCAATAGTATTAGGTAATCCCACAATAAAGGACCTAAATATTCACTTTAAAACTGACTTGAAATGCTGAAACCTTCTTTGAATTTATTGCACACATACATGTATGATATTGCAGAATTGGTGCCTTACATGACCCAGAACCCAAGGTCATACATGGGGTTTGAATCTCTGCGGGATGCTTACCTGGAGTTTGATCTGGAAATCTCTTTCATACCAGAAGCCACAGATGGTAAGTGGGTCACTGTGACACAGATGGTAAGTGGGTCACTGTGACACAGATGGCAAGTGGGAAAATGATGTGATACATTTTGTTGTAAAATATTATGGTGTTCTTTCTGGTTTGATCATGTCTTATGGTCGTGTAAAGTTTGAACACTGTAGATGGCAATATTCCTGAAGTTATTGTTAGGTTTGAATATCATTTGCCTAATTTAATGTTAGAATAATACACAGTTGTACATAATTATGAGCATTATTTGAGAATACTTGACTTAACACTGTAAACTGGTTGCTAATATCATTAAAGTATGAGGAAATCAGTGAAGTTGAATCCTTTTTTCCAAACCATTGTGGTTACTTTGTATTTAAAATTCCCATGCAACATGCTGAGAGCCAGCATAAGCATCATATATATATTGTTAAATCTCTCAACAGGTTTGCTGTTGTACAACGGCAATGGAGTGTCAGATTCCGTGGACTTCATGTCATTTGGTCTTCGTCAAGCTAAGCCAGAGTTCCGCTTTGACATGGGAGATGGCGTGACAGTCATTCAGGCTGACAGACCCGTGGAACTGGACCAATGGCACACTGTTCGTATAGAGAGATCGTCGAAGAGAGGTCTGTACACACGCACACACATACATGCAAACACACATGTATGGAAACCACATATACACCAGGCATGAAAGCACACACACTTGCACCCACATATAAATGTACACACGAGAACATTAGATACAAAAATGTAAATTAAAATCAGTGGCACCCCTCTTCTGGAGGTGCCCGGGCACTTATTCTAGCTTTCATATTTTTCTTGTAAAAATGCGTATAAATTGTATAGAAATAACATAACTACTGCAGTGTGACATTGCAGTACAAATGTGCAGTTTGTCTTGAATGGTACTGTCATTTGTAAATTTGATCATACCTCCAACATTGGTTTTCAATATAGTGGTAGTACTTTGTAAACTGCCACTTAAAATTCCAATTTTAACCTTCCTGACAACTTTTCATCTTTGCACAAAATTGTTCTTGCCAAGTTAGTTATATTAGTTTGTACTTCAGCTGAATTTTTGGGAGTCTCTTTCACTCTAGGTTACATTTACTATTATTAATGATAATGATGTCAACAAAAAATAACAATTTTCAGTAATTATTATTATTATTATTATTATTATTACAATAACTTGTTTGTGTCTTCAGGTACTATGGTGGTTGATGGGACCCAGACCTATACTGGGGTCTCCAGTGGGTCATTCCAGGGACTTGATCTCTCAGACAAGCTGTACCTAGGTGGTGTCCCAGATTTCACACAGATACCAGATGGTGCAGGCTTCAAGACAGGCTTTGTGGGTAAGTTGCAAGAAGGAATTATACCAGACAAATGAGATCTAAAGACTTTTTTTTTGCAAACTTGCCACAAACTTTAGATGCTCTTGCAAAGTTGCAGCTGAACAAATTTTTCTTGCAAACTCCTTGAGAATTTTTGCAGCAAATTTTCATTTTACTAAGAACTTAAATGACTGATCATATCATAGTGTGTTGTGTAAATCTAAAGACTTCATGTTAGATTTTAACTATATGAATTAACTTTCGGTAATGCTTATGTAATCATAAGCTGCATAGCCCTAGTCCTTTCTTCACAGTAAGTCTGATAATTGTGGCTGAGAGTAAAGACTTATGAAGATAAGTAGCTACCTTCTACTGCTTCTCAAGTCCATATATCCACAACAAAATGTTTTAAGCACTTTAAAAACTGACATCTTTTGGCAATTTTTAGGTGGTGTCAGTCGCCTTGTCATCAGGAACATTCCAGTCAGTCTGGGAGAAGATGCATTAGAATTTGTGGGCATTGACCCTTATCCAGTTTGTCGTGACTCGCCATGTCAAAATGGAGGGCAGTGTCAGCCAGCAAACACGAGAGTTGGCTACAAGTGCACATGCCCACGTGGCTTTGCAGGGAGCAACTGTGAATTGGTGGGAGAAAGGTGTTATCCAGGTATAGGATGGTTTATAATAATGAAAATAGCTATAATGATCATAATAATATATCTTTTTTTCTTGCAACCAACTAAAACATTTGGGTGCTATAATAGAATCATTATAGAAGATTGTAAATATAATCATGATATATTTTACAGTTTTTTATTTGAAGAGTTAAAGGGAATTTTATTGAAATAAAACTGATTTAGAGTAACTTGCTATATAAAGATAAAGAAAACACTCAATTTACTTTAATAAGGTGCCTGTGAGGGTGGACGTTGTATCAACCTGCCAGGAGACTATGGTTTCCGATGTGAGTGCCCTCTGGGGAGAACTGGACAGAACTGTGAAAGAGGTAGGAGTAGGGGTAGAACCTGTGTGAAATCACTTTAAATATATTAATGTTTCATCTTTCAGCAGTTTATGACTTCAGATATCATGACTGTAAGCTGATTCAAAATTACTTTATACACATGTCAGTAATTTCTAAATTCTGCAAAAATGGGTGTAAAATTACTAGAAAAGTATTGGTACAACATTTGTGGCTTATTGGTTCTTCCTAGCAGCAATAAAACATTGTTTCAGTCAAAGAAACGCAAAGTACACATTTTGTTCTGATTGGTAACTGTTTTATATCACTTAAATAATTGATTTTGCTAAATGGCTAAAACTATTCATTTCTGTTAGAGTGAGTCTTTTGGACTCATTCATTTGGCCAAAACAGTTTTATCACAGATTCAGTATTGGAGTTTATTCTCACTTAAAACTTTTGATAAGACCAAACATGACATAGAGAGCCATAGATTTTTATCGATGTTTGTGTTACCTCTACCTGCCAGAAGGAAAGAAAGTGCCTTATGCTTTTCATTGTTTACCACTTTTAGGATTTATTATTTTTAATTTTTCAAAATTCTGCTGTTACAGTAGGTAATAATGACAAACAGGCAGTACCTTTTGTTTGAACCAGAAATAATATTCAGAATACCAAAAAAAATTTGATTAAAATATCCTTGACTTATTTCAGAAATTAACACTGTTCAGAACGTTAAACATACAAAGTTAACAAAAAAAAAACAAAAAAACATACACACACTAGAAGTAGCAGTTTCTGCTTCACAAACAACAAAAAATATTAAAACTTAAAAAGTCAACCAAAATCTAGGTCAATTTGCATCTATCTGCAGAGTCACACTTCACTTGCATATACATGTATGTCAGTGAAGTTGCCATGCCTGCATGGTTATTACAAGAATTCACTGGTGCAATTCTTTTTCTACTTTCACTTTGTATTTTCAAGACATTTGTTTAGTCAGCACTCTCCAAAGGAGAAAACATCTTTGTATGCAATGTGAATAGCTCTATCAGGATCTATTTCTTGAATGTTGTAGTTCTGTTAATGGTATACCCAAAAAGAATTTGTAAAAAATTCTAAAAAAAAAAAAAATCGATTCCATTTTCATTCAGAGACCCAAATGACCAAATTTTTATTGTACATTAAAGATAAAGCACATTTTGTTTTATATTTAAGCCAAATTTTCTGTTAAATTCATTAAATATTTGCTTTAAATTAAATTTTATTTCATTTTTAATATGGGATCCATATTTGTTTTATATTTGCTTTCCCCCTACCTTCCACCCTATGCTGAATACTAGCTCTGTATGCCCCTCCTCATGATCAATTTCATATTGACCAATAACTATAATTTTATGATCATGAGTTTCTTCTGTTCTTTACTATATTATGTTAATTTATTCTAATTTATGTTAATTTATTCTGCAGTGAGCTTTTTTCCTGCCAAGCGGGCAGTGGCTGCAGGTAGTTATAGATCCTCAGGTGTAGCCCAAGTCGCCTGCATGCTACAAAATCCTATTCTCTATCATATGAAATATGCTTGTATGGTCTATTATATATATGAATACGTGTGCTACCCAGATAGCCCATTACATTGAGCCAACATTGTCTAATTTCAGGGGAAAAGGAGACTGCTGCAGGCCTATGTCAAGGTCATTGGCAGCTCAGGGTCAGGTCTTTTGGGGAGGGGGGGCATTGTCAAGATATTATCAATTTTTGGTCATTATTAGGTAATGTCAGTCTAACTGGGCGCTATCTGGGTAGCCCTATGCTGAGACTTAAATATCATGGATCTTACTTTTATAAATATCCTTTGACAAACATTGAATAAAAGATACATTTGGGTTGGCAATGAATATTTCATTACAGCTTTTGAAAGACAGACCACAAACTTAATTTTAAAACACCTATATAAAATAAGGTACCAAAATAAAGTCACATTGACCTCTAAATGAGGTTGGGTCCAGTTTACCTATATGAGTCAATACTTTTGGTAATTTAACATTTGCATTTGTCCAAACATTGGTTATAATGCCTTATCAGAGCCAAATTAAAATGATTTAACAGACAGAATGAAACTGCTGGTTGGCAAAAATTATGTGAGTCAAAGGATCTTTTCCCTATGAGAATGGAACTAAGTATATGTAAACTGTATATGCATGGTATTATACTCTGTCTCTGAGGCATGGACATATATAGCATTATGATGTGTGAAGGTTTGAAGGTGTCTTCATCTAATTATGCAACAGAAAAAAAAACAAGGATAATTTTGTGTTAAAGAATTGACTTGGAACAATTCGAGGCATTGTTAGTAAGGCTAGAAATACATTGATGACAAAAAGTTAGATTTGGAATTGTTACAGTAGCTATCAGGAAAAAAAGTACTTTGATAAGCTATGAGATGCACAAAGAAGATAGTAAGACATTAAAAAAGATATCGTTCTGACATTTATTTCAATTGTCATTGGTAGTTATATATGATAATTTTTTTTACAGTACAGCACCAATATAGTACTTTATAAACATGATAAATTTAGCTTTTAAAAACCATGGTCAAAAGTTCAGACTTTATCTGTATGTTTAATTTCCCACTGTTCATGAATTGTTTAAAAGCCTCATGCATTTTGGTCTTGATTAACAACCCCCCCCCCCACCCCAGTGGTCCATAAGCCTTTTAATCCTCTAATAGTGTTTTCACTGTGAAAAAAAAGTTTCAAGATCTGTGTGTAGGTCAACTGAATTGACACCATAAAGCCAGTTTCCATTGTAGGAAGGTTGTTCTTTCTTAGCACAACCCATCTCAACAGGTTATCTGTTATGATTAGCTCATCGTTTGGAGCAATCTAATCTTTTGATTACCAGGGCCACAGGTTATTAAGGTAATTTGTGACATATTAGATGGCAGGTAGTTTCCAGTGGTGACATAAAAATAATCAGGCAACCCACTATCTCGGGTCATAGTTAGTTCAGCTTATCTACATTGGAAACTGGCCTTTAATGCCAATATCAGATTTTTCCTCATGACTAAGTAGGTTTTTCCTATTTTTACAATTTAGCTGGCTTATGATGGCTTCTCTTTTTCTCTTTGAAGAGAGACCTTGAGATCATGGTAAAAAATACTTGACATCAGAATATGCAAATCTGTTTTGTAAGTTGTTTTGTAAGTGAACATTTATAAACAAATATTTTGACTAGTATTTTTTTGGAGAAAACACCAATAATAAAAGAATGGAATGTTTGTATTGGTTCCCAGGCCCTTCTGTTTATTAATCATCACCTTCACTTTTTGGTTGTTTTTATGCACCGTGTACCATTTTATTGACACCATCAAATCTTTGCATGAATAACTTGCTCTAACTGCTCACTTTGTGTAACTGAATCACTGCAAATCACTAAGATATGAACAAAGACCACAATATATCACAGGCTGGTATTAAAAGCAAGGCCCCATAATATCACTTTGCAGGAATAAGAAATATATATGTATACAACCTTCACACAACCTTTAAAGCTTTTGTGAAAAAAATTAACCTCCCATCTGTATTTTTTATTTATTTATTTATTTATTTTTATTTTTTTATTATTATTTTTTTTTTGTGACAGTTCATTGAAGTGCACTTTCTGGGAGTATTCAATCCTTGATTGTGAATTAAACAAGCATACTGCACTTCATTTTGTCAACGCAATAAGTATGATGTCACAATTCTAGTGTGTGTGATGACAACATTAAAGATATGTGATGTTGTCACTAGTTGTTGGATATATGATAATATGTGTGGTCAAGGCAACTGTATAACACTTTCTAAGAGACATTTCCAGCAATGGTGAGCTACGTTTGAACTACTTCCAGCTGTTTTTACTGACCAGTTTTATTTGCAATAGCATGACCACTATATTACCAAGCAACTAACTGTCTTTATACCTCTTAACAGTTTGCCATGAGTATGTGGGGCCACTTGTAGTTGCTCACAGGAATGTTTTCATTCATTTTTGGTTAAATAGTAAAATTATTAACTTATAAAAATTTGAAAATAAATATTCTTTATATCTATATTTCATTCAAATTGCAGTTTTTAGTAGAAACTATTTAAATATGGCCTCTCATACAGCCTGCTTAACTTTTTTTAACATAAAAAGAAGTCTTAAAAGATATGTTTACCAGTTGTTTCCAAAAGTGTTATTTAATATGTAAAATTTGGGCTTTAGATATAAGTTAGTATTTATATAGAATTTAATCAGAAATTTAATTGAGTTGAATAATAATTGATAATTTGTAGTAAGTTTACTGCCAATGATTATGAAAACTTGCAACCAGTTTTTGAGTCATGTATAGAAAAGACATTTTGTAGGAAAAAAAAACAGTCATATTCATAGTCATTTTAAGTGTCTTGGCCCTATAAATCCCAGTTGGTATTATGTCATATTGTGGTCATATAGAGAAGCGTTTTAGATTCCAAATAGAAACCTGTATGTTGTAACTGGTTTGAACCCAGATAACATGTGCTTAATGCTCTTGCACTGGGCCCTACTGTGATGTAGTTTACCCAACAGCAAGGGTAGATGGTGGACCATAGATTTTTGCTGATTCAGACTATGAATAGACCAGTAATGATATCAAAATAATAGTTGACCAATGCACATGTGGCCTCAAGAGTGTCACTGCATTGGTATGTGAATGAGGCAAAATTATAGGAACTTTGCAGCAGAAATGCACAGTTGATCCAGCAATCACATGCTATCTGAAAAGACATCTAAAGTCATTTATCAGCATCTATTTCTTAATCATTGGTAGTTTATCATTAATATTTAGGAGTAGAAATGATCAGATGGTTTTAATTTCATAACATTATAGTTAGCTCCCTGATGTAATTCTTAGTACTAAAGTGAAACTCCATGTGCTGTTAAAGCTTTAGGCAATTGCAAATTAACTGAAATAACATGGTTATAATGATAATCTGCAACAATTAAATTGCTACAACAACTTCTTGGTGTGTCCATATTTCAATCCATGATGGATATTTCTCGTTGTTTGCCACAGCCATTCAAATCAAGCAGCCAGCCTTCAATCAGTCTTCATACGTTGCCTATGAAACCCTACCTGATGCCATACGACAGACAAAAATGAAGATGACCTTTAAGCCCCGCAGCTTGGAGGATGGCATTCTCCTGTACAATGGACAGAGAGAGGATGGGGTTGGTGACTACATAGCCCTGGCAATCAAGGATAGGAAGATGCAGTTCAGTTTTGATTCTGGGTCAGGTATGTAGTCTTGGAAAAGTAGGGCTTGGGTCCTAAGTTTGAAATTAATTCAGGACTACCATAGATAATTTAGGTGTTTTGGCTTTTTTAATGATGAGTTAATCCTCATTTAGAACCAAATGGATTTCAGTTTATTTAATTTTTTTAAACTATTGTTTTCATTTAGATAATCTTATAAAAGAATTGCATTTAAAATTGTAGGCTAAAATGCTCCTGAAAAGTGATAAACCATAGTTTTCAAACATCTTACTGGCCATTTTAATGTATGTTCTTCGAAGTATTTCCATCAATACTCTTGTGGTCGTCTCTGTTTTGCACTTACCCTCTGACAAAGTGGTAACAGAGAGGCAGGAATTATATACAATACTGTTTTATTTTATAAACTTTCATGCTATCAGGAGCAGCAGTGATAACTAGTGAGGATGAGCTTCAGGCAGACCAATGGACTACAATTATAGCAGAGAGAAATCTAAAAGATGGCTCACTTATTGTGAATAATGGTGTAGCAGTCAAAGGTAAGGTGACCATCTGGATTTGCTTGTATCAATCTCTACTGTAGAGGGACAAGACAAGCCTTCAATATATACATTTGGAAATATCTAATGATTTTAGTAATATGTTGAAAATATGTTAATATATCAAAAGTTGTTGACTAATTTTGAATCTTAGTATAGTTTTAAGTTATTGTTTATGTTACCTTAACTGTGGTAGATGTTTCAACCATTGGTTTAACTTATAGTAATCAAGTTCTGATGATTTATGTAGTTTTTGTATTCCTGTGCACTGTGTTTGAAGGCCTTTTGCACATGTGAATGCTAGAGTTTTGCAGATGGCTAGAATGCCAAGTGCTGTCAATATTAATGTCTCTTTGAGTTGCTTAAATTATAAGACAGATCCACTATTCACTTTTTTGTCAAAACTAAGGATGGGTTTATTGTGAAATTTGGCAAAATGAAACCAGTCATTGGCAACGCAGAATGAAGTGAATTAATTCTTTGAAAAGATTTACATTAAGAAATAAAATGGATCTGCCTCAAGGAAAATGCCCATATGCTTTGTGTGTATTTTGCAAGAATGGCAAAGCCTAAAAACCCCTTTCCCAGTGCAACCCCTTTCTTAAACTAAGTATAATATTATGAATCTCAAACTTTGTACATGTTAAACAAAAGAATTGTTAGTTAAAAGTCTGAAATATATTTTTCGAAAATTGCCTAGCTGCAGAATGTGAAGTAGAATAGGAATAAAATTTTATTATAATGGACCATACATATATTGCACCACTATATGCATAGTTGTGCGCATTGCATCTTATTCAGTACAGGGCCATATCACATATTTTTTCCTCTGGAGCATCTTTTTCCCCTCCTTGAAACTTTTTGCCTAATTCATCTGCACTAGTTGACTTACACAGTGTTGAAGATGTATGCTGCTATGTATTTTTTCACTCTTCTGTTGGACGCAAAGATCTGAAAAAAGGGAGGAGAAAAAGATGTTACGGATAAGAAAATACTGTTGAATGGTATTATAGATAGGCTCTTTAAAAGTGCTGCAGCTGTTTTTATATATGAGCGCTTTAGAGTTCTTCATAGATAACAACAGAATATATATTTATGGGCAGTAATTTATGTTAAAGTGGAGCTTGAATTTCCCATTTACTGTTTAGTATTCAAATGTACTTACATCAGTAAATTTCTTGTCAGTTTTAAAGAAGCATATCCTTTTTATGTGCTGTTTTATTTCAGGACATTTTGCTGTTCATTTCAGTACATTGTATTGACCTTGTTCTATGACCTTGACCTATTATTTTGTAGCCTCGGAACCAAAGGAATCCGGTGGTTTCTTATTTGGCATATTTGGTAACACGGATGGAGGTATAAAAATGATGAAAAATATATTTAAAAAAACAAACAAAAAGCAGTGTGCAATGCTAATATAATGATAGGGTTATTGCAGTGAGAGAGGAAATGGGACTACTTTAAGAAGACCTTAATAGAACTAAACCAGCATGAATTTCTGTGAATTGTATGAAATATATATCCAGCTAGTGTGGTTTGACGCTACAGTTAATTACCTTTAAATTTTCTCAGGCATTTGTTATTTTATTCTTCTTTGGATTAAATCTCCCTGATACAATTATTTATAAAGATGTTTCCCCTTAGACTTAAATTACTAATGAGCATCTATGATTTCTGTCTACTCCATTTTCCAATTTTTGAAGTGAACACCATGGAATTACTATTGCCAGCCTGTCCAGTTACAGTATATCATCCTATTATCCTTAAAACTATATATACATGTAGATCTTTGTGTCCCTTTATTCAACTGTACGTATACTGTCATTTGGTAAAAATATTTTTCTTTTCTTATTTAGAATTTTTTTTGTGATCAAGGCACATGTAATTTATGTTCTTGGTTTCTTTAAAGTTCATTGTAATTATCCACTTAATTCTAACCACCCAAAGTTTTACCTAGTTCATTTTTGTGAATTGTTAATTGCTCTGGTGATTCTGTTTCAATTTAATGACCTAATTTTTAATTCACCCAGTTCCTCTCATTCACTGTGACCCAATTTTGTGGCCATAAAGCTTCCAGTTAGCTTCTCTCTCATACTGCCTCAACTGAGTACAGAAACTTTCCTCTTCATTTTAAGTTTAAGGTGATCATATCTGCAAATAACTTTTGAAAATTATCTTATTTTATGACAAAAAACTATTTTGAAAATAACAGGAACATCTCATTATTAAAACTTATTCTAGTTTAGCCTATTAACAGACAATTTGTTCTTACATGAGGGTGCTGTAATTGGCTTTCTCCTCACTAGAAAGAACATGTACCAGGGCCTCCCATAAAGTAATTTGCAGATTGGCACTGTCTTTCATTATTTCATTATCTTGATCATTTTCAGTTGCTTCCAGATGTTTTTTGTTGCTGTGAAAATCTGTTGCTTAGCAATCTTTTTGTTTGCCAGAGTTATTGTTTATGTGTCTGATATTTTATTTGTATTTGTCATATTTTGAGTTTGCTACATTTATTATTTACCTCGCTTAGCACTGAAAATCTTTAAAAATGTCAACATTTTTGGTAGCTTTAACCCCATATAAATTACTTCCTTTTCATTTCGATGTGTATGAATCTAAGCAAAATGTACAATGGGCATGCATCCTTTGGTGATTTGAAAAGAAAGTGCATAGCTGCATTACTTGTTATATTTGCATGTTGGTGTGTGAAGCCAAATAGTTACTTTGCATATGCATAACAATACTATTATATACTTCCTGCCTTAAAAGCTTGCTTTTCAGTTGCATTTTGCTGATTTGAAATGCTTTAATCAGTGCATTTGTGTTAAGCTTAATGTGATTGCTTTTTTAATCTTCAATTTATCACCAATTTGCTAACAAAAGTTGTTAAACATTAAGTGAGGTGAGGTGAGACTTTTTATACACATTGGATAGTAGCCCTTTGCTTGTGCAAATATTTGAGATTCCCTTTCACCCTGAAATCTGCTTTGAATACAATGATATTTTAGTTTGGCTTTGAAATAGGTACTTGTATTGTGCATATCTGTTATCTGCTTCTCCATAGATAAAAAAGCTTGTTTGCAGCACTTTTAGAGTCCACTAATACATTTATTTGATGGCTGCAGTATTTATTTCCTGTAATATGTTAATTTTCTATAATGAAAAAAGAAAAGATTTTTTTGCATTAGTAAATGATTTGTCAATTGCACTCTTAATGCAAAAGTAATGGTACACATTTTGTAAGCATGGACGTGTTATATTATTCACTGTTTTATTTACTAAGTAATTTTTAGCAGTATTTGAATTGATTTGGCAAAATGTGATCTGTTACAATGCTGTGATGAAAGTATGGCTTAATAGATTTACACGTCACTTTGTTATATGTTCTGTTGAAGTGTTAATAGAAAATTGTCATTTTATTTGTAGGTTTTACACACTGAATTCAAATGCCTCCATGTTTGACATTTTATTTGGTTTACACTTTTGCAATCTTAAAAATTATTTGACCATTGGAAAACTGAACTTTGCATTAATGTTATATTACATCCAAAATCCATTCTGGACCAGTAATAGTATTTTAATCCCTCAACCTTTTTTCATACAATCACAGACATGATCCTACTTTTTCTGACTCCCGTCAGTGTCTTTCGGTCTAAATGTAATGGGTGTAAACCAAGTGTTTTAAAACTGGAGACACTAAATGTTATAAACTGTCTTATTCAGAACATCCTTTCTTAGAACTGTGAACATCTTGCTTTACTGTCCATCATAAAGGTTTTTATAATTTTGTTTTTGTAATGATTCCAACAGCTCTGTTTTCACAGTTTTAGATGAAAAGTTAACAAATTTATGACATAAACACTTTGCCCAAAATATAAGAGTCATCACTAGACCCGGAAAGTAAGGTATACAGAGGCAGATCCAGAGACATTTTCTGCCAGTCTTCCAAATTATCTTTCTTGATTCAGCCTCCATTTTTGACCGTCTTCCAACAGAAAAAATTTAGATACCCGTCAATGAAAACTTGAAAATCGGACCATTTTCCAGAAGACCCAGAAGGCGATCTAAATCTGCCCCTGGTATTTGCCTTGCTTTGTGTAAATAAAGCATATTTTGAATTAAAAGCACCATCAAAACAACAGTTAACTGGAAAGGATGTTCTTAAATGTAACTAGTGCAGTTTCAGAGCACCTGCTAGATACAGTAGTGCTGACTGTGTATGTTAGTTCACACTTTTTTTCACTGCACACCAGGTGTCAGTAGTGTTCTCTTCATTTTCTTCATTGCTCTCAGGTGGCAGTGCTGCCCCAAAGGAAAAAAAAGGCAAATAGATTGTCTTTGGTAAATTGGTGATGTGATTACTTTCAGAAAATATCCAGAATTATGATAATTGTTTTTGTTTTTTATTTACTTCCAGCCTTGGTTTAAAGTTTCTGGCTGAATCATCTTAACAACTGGATAGTTGTATTATCATTAACATTTATGTTATTTGATATTTCAGCAAAGCTAAACTATAAGAGGACTAAACAAACAATGAGTGATCTTTCCAAGTTATGACTCCCTCCTTTACTTTGATAAGTAACCTTATTCCTACAAAAACATCCATGTTTCTGGTATTGTACTATGTGTGGTTTTGTTTGTCCCTCAGGTACCTCCGAGGGTAACACAGAGGGCCTTAACCTCCGCCTGCCCCTGTATCTCGGAGGTGTGGATCCCGATCGCATGATTTCCTCCAGTGTAGGAGTTAAAAGAGGGTTTGATGGCTGTATAAGTGAGGTAAAAAAATTTCCCTTTCTGTTCTTGGTAAAGAACTGTAACTTTATTTCAACCACTAATTCCAAAATTTATACAAAATTGATGTTGTCTTTTGTAGTTTCACTTGTACAGTCAGTTGTAGATTTGAAAATGTAAGTCTACACAATGACTGATGGGTTTGAGTCTTATTCATTGAAAAATTATTGAATTGTCCTCATTCCAGTTTGAAATAAATGACCGTCCCAAGAACCTTGTGACCAATGTCTTGGACAGTGCCAATATCATGGACTGTGGCACCAAGAATCCGTGTGAGATCCGCCCCTGTAAAAATGGAGGCACCTGCGTCAACCAGAATGGAGACTATACATGTGTTTGTCCTGCTGACTCCACAGGTGCTTGTTGGAATACTATATAGATAATGAAGAAAAAGTGAGATAAGGAGGAAGAGAGAGAGAGCTCATTCAGAGCAGCCGAATTACAGATCCACAGATCAAACATGGCGATCCACTTAAAAGCTTGCCACTTAATTCCTGATTAGACACTGAAAAAGATTACCCATAAGAATTACGCAACAAGCATTCAAGTGGCTCAGCCATATTTGATCTGCATATGTATTTGTCCACTGTTCTGAATGCACTTAGAAGGGATGATGGTAGAAGAGAGAGGAGGCAGGTAGAGAGAGAGATGGTAGGATTGTTGAATAGTAGGGGGATAAGAGAAAAAGAAGATGGTGGACAACAAAGGATTGAATAATCTGCCACTGAGATAAACTATTTATTTAGTACAGATTCAATTAATTCATAAATGAAATTGATGTGTGCAAGTGTATGAACAAGTGGGACCTTAGAATGGCATCATCTTACCAATATATACTGTACACATTATTTACCATGTTAGGCACTCAGTAAAAGGCACTCTCTGACATAAACCATCCATGTGTTAAAGAAATTCCAGTCATCATTTTGGTGTATATTTAATATGCTTTGTTAAAATGCGGTGAAGAACTACCACAGTTCTGTCTTTGTTTTTCAGGTGCTGACTGTGAGCTTCAACTGAATGCCTGCACGAGAGGCGATTCACCATGCCAGAATGGGGGAGAGTGTATACCACTCAATGGCATTGCCTTCACATGCAGGTGCAAACTGGGCTTTAAAGGAACCAATTGTGAACAGGGTAAAAATTTGTTACTAGATCTTGAAAAAAAGCTATGTCAAATATGTGCTCTGAAACCACATAGACGTCTTCCTTAGATTTTTGGCTGCAAAGAGACCTTCTTCCCTTTAAAAGGAGGTAACTAAAGAGGAGGATGCAAAAGAATTGGGTATCATCTATGTATGTGATGCATATGTGAGTGTGAAATAGCAAATAAAAACATTTTTCTTGGAAACTTCAGGGACTTTTCCTTTAGCAACAAGGTCAACCCTAGCCAAAACTGTTGTGAATATTGCAGTTTAGTTACCAGATTTCAAGTCCTAAATTTCACATTTTTTACATAACCATTGTAAGCTACATTCAACAGTCTTGATTGTGTGGGTGCACACAAAACTGATGCAATTTTCTCTTTCAGAGGAGAAAGTTGGCGGCTCCTCCGTCCGTTTCAGTGGCAGTCAGTACGTAATATTCTCCAAAGAGCGCCTGCCCCATTCGGCCACACTGGAAGAGATGGTCCAGTTCAAAGTGATGACCAATGATTACGATGGCCTGATTCTGTGGCATGGACAGGAGCCGACCACCCTGGGGCAGGGCAGGGATTATCTGGCGGTGGGACTTAGAGATGGACATATAGAACTCAGGTGTGTTTTTGTACCATGACCACTGTATATATGTGTGTCTGTTTGATATAGTCAAAGAGCTTGTAAGACAATGTATGTGAATGATGCGTGCATATGTGTGAGAGTGTGTTGGCATGTGTGTTTGTGTGTGTGATCTAACAGCCAAAAGAATGCTTTGGAAAATATAAAACTTAATCAGTCACAAAGGTGGCTGATATTTAAATGTCCCTCACACTTTTGATTCTAACATATACCTAATGGAGTTTGCCAACATTTGCCACTGGTTGAGTGGAGATATGATATATTTTATATACCAAATGCTCTGTGTTTCAGCTATGAACTAGGCAGTGGTCCAGCTAGCATAGTAACTTCAGATAGAGTGAATGATGGAAGAATGCATACCATCACAATAAAAAGGTAAGTGTTGATGATTCATACACATTGTCTTTGCTTTTTAAGGAAATCTTTGGTGGCACCTTTCTAATGTTTGCTTTTAGCAACATATATTCTTTCTTTATAATCCCGTTAATGTTTTGAAGTACGCAAGTATTTATCACCTCTGGCCCATAAAGGGGGTTATGTTTTTCTTTAGAGTGGGATTGCCGCTGGTAAGTGAACAATAAATCTGAATAAAACTCCTCAGATTGTGAAAAAAATTCAGGATAGTTATTCAGGAGGTAAATATGCAAATGGGGTATCAATTTCAACTAAATCTGGTTCATCTATTACTTTTCCAAAATATTTTATTGTATATCCATGAACATTTTCATATAGACAGATATTAAAGTTAACCTGTTATCTGTTTTAGACAAGGCAGAAGTGGAGAAATATTAGTAGATGACTTCTCCATTGTGAAGGGAGAATCACTTGGACAGTTGAAAATGTTGAATGCAGAAGGAGATATTTATGTTGGTAGGTATCAAGTTACTTTTGGAATATACAATAGAAGTGGTCATAATATCTACAACATCTGTGATTTTATGATCACTTCTATATCATTTTAGTGTAAAATTTAGATATTGAACAAAAACTAATTTGTAACTTAAAATGATAAAAAGTTTCAGTTTATAGCAACCCTTATAGGGTCACTCCCTGTCTGATTTGTAAAAAAAAAAAATCTTCTGGAAAAAATGCCAGACCAGGTCAGAGGCAAACATTATCTGTAGTTTGTGCAAGATTCCATTCAAGCCTGTATGAAAAGTATGAAAAACAGGACAAAGTGTGAATTATTGCAAACCAAGACATAAAATTTGGATCTGTGACATGTTTTTTAAGTAACTTTGTGTGGAGTCTACTTTCTGATCACATTTAATCTTGTTTCATCCCAAACAAATGATACTGACTTATGAAATTGGGCTATTTTTTGCCACTATGAGTAAAATGCTGTTTTGCTTCAATGTCAGTTTGGTTGAAGGTTTTCGTTTTGAATCCAAAAGAACCAAGGCAAATGGGCATTTGGAGTCTTTGTTGAACATGTATTGGATTCTTAGCTACCAATTTATGGCTAATAACTTAATTTGCAAAGGGTCCAAATGATTAGTGATTTAATTTTTATATATAAGAATGAAAGTTTTCAGTATTAAGCCCGATTTCAGGATTAACAGTCTTCATCTTCTTCCCTTTTCTTTTTAATGCAGTGAAAAATTACAAGCTACATTTTTTTTTAGGATTTTCAGTTTTTACAACTTTCACCCATGTATATATTGTACTAAAGTGCAACTTACCTAAAGAGGTTGTTTTAGATAACATGATGTTTTTCTTTCTCCCAGGTGGTGTTCCAGACTTCAGTTACATGACAGGAGGGAAATACTTCCAGGGACTCAACGGCTGTTTACGAGACTTAAAATTCAACCAGGAAGACCCAATAGACTTTCAGGAGGCAATAGGTGGAACAAGTGTCAGTCCATGTATCTAAATAATCTTTATATATATATATACACACATTACCTATATAAGCAACAGGGATTATTTTTATTCTTATACTTTTTTCATTTTTATGGAAGTAATAACTGAAAAGCATTTGTACTGACATGGGCTGTATCTTTGTACTGAAACTATTAAGGAAGAGAGTGCTTGGAAAACTTGCATACAGAAATGGAACTGCATCTTATACTTAATTGGACCACAGCTTTAAATTGGAATGGTCATACTTTTTCTTGACATTATGTACTTATTGTTTTATTTTAAAAAAGGAAAAGTTAGATATGGACCAGAAAACAAGAACAAGAAAAGAAGTGCCTTCCTGATGTCAAATTAAGAAATAAAAACTCTTGACAATTGTTCTGTGGACACATATACTCTATGTTTTTTGGCCAGCATAAGTTAAATCAAATGGAAAAATACTTCTGAATAGCACTTTGGTCAGTGGGTAGGTTAAAATCATATGTATAGAGGTTGCCAAGGATACAATGCATTTCCCAAAGTGGCTCCTTCATCAGAATTTTTGAACTTTGTAAACCATTGCAGTCTGCAAGGAGTTAAGTTTTACTTACATTTGGAATTGAAGAACAGCGCCTGCAAGCTCATTAAGAGTTCAGAATTTCCTAGGCAAATCTTATATCATCACTGGTTATGACTTGGATGGGAAAGGCAGCCATTTTGCAGAGAGATTTTTGATACAAATGTTCTTATTGATGGCACTGTCAGCATTTTCACTGCAATTAACCTACATACACATGCACACTTAAACCACTCCCAACATAAGAACCAGAGATGTATGATGTGACCTTTAATGCAGTATTATTATCAGCTGTCATTATCTTGGTTCACAAGCATTGACAGATTTCTCAATTTCTTCATTTTTCTTCTTATACACCATCGTGTATGAACTTAAGTAAACAGCTTGGGCAATTTGGACTGTCTTTGCATGTGGCTGATTTTCCTGTTCAAGGATGTGTTCTTGATAAAGCTATCATAATCATGGTATACTTTGTATATCTTTATGTGGTACATTGTATCATACTTTGCTGATTGGTTTGATACATTAATATTGTTATATACAATGTGTAAAACTGAAACAGCTTTTGCTGAAGCACTGAATGATACATTGTAGCATACACTCACTGTTAACTGTGTATGTCACAGTAAAATGTACTTTGTCTCACCTATAGCAATGTCATATTACACTCAATGTATTTTAAGTTAGGATTATTATGAACTTACAAATCACATTAACAGTACATATGAAGTTTTAACTTTGTGATACAATCCCGATATTTTGTACGTTATGAAATGCAGTAATTAAAAAAATGCATACTTTAGATCGTTCTACTCGGTATCATGTGAATGTTAAAATTGTTGTATTTACATAGCGGTATACATGTATATTAACCATTATACAATCAAATATGCATACTTGTTGTACACTGTATTATTTACACAAAGGTGCCTAAGTAAGAACTAGTTTTCTTTTACAGTGCTTCATCTTTCACATTTAGTTATTTGATAATAAAGATATTGCAGATTTAGTGTAAATATTTATCAAATACACTAATGTTAGAGACTGGGAATATATTTGCTAGTAGTTAAATCATTATTACTGAAGTAGCTGCAAATTTGTATAGTTTTATAATGCCCATGTTTAGGGTCGCAAAGGTCAAACTTTTGACTGTCACCTTGGAGCAAGGTCACAACCTTGCCATGTAGAGATTTTGATAATAGCCATATCACTGCCATTTGTAGTAATATAAGGAAAAGGGAGAGAGGCTCAGAAATTTGGTTTAAAAGAAAAAAAATGAACGAACCTTCATTGAAAATGTTCATCAGGTGTGATGCAATTATATTTTGGAATATGAAAAAAGTGGAATATCCAACTTTCCACTGTTGTTCAAGATGATGGATGTAATGTTAAAAGTCCAATGTTAATATATAAGAGTTCAAGTTTTAAGTTGAAAGATTTTAGGACTACATCTGACAATCAAAATTATTGATTTTGACTTTCATTATATTTAGGGCAATGAAAAATAAGAGAGTGAATGATGTTGTCATGTTTGATAGATTCAAAAAAGATTACTAGAAGTTGGTGCTTGGTCACTCTGACAAACAACCAGATTTGAAATTAGATTTGCAGTTTTTCTGCTAGTCAATTAAAAAAATTATCTGGGGTCCTGCTGTTGTTCAGCATCAAGTCATCATTGTTAATAAACTTTACATCAATAGTTTGTTTGCTCTCTCTCTCTCTCTCCCTCTCTCTGAGTTTAATGCTATGGTTTTGACACTGAACCGGAGTTAAGATATATTTTGTCACAAAATTAGCGATATGGGTATAGGATTTTGTGCCCGTTTTGTTTGAGGTGGTGCATCTATATTGTATTGGTCATGGATTTGGCTTTATAATTTCTTCCCTTTCTTTCATATCTTTAGGAGGAAGGGCCATTTACCAGTACTGGGGTCGTGCTGAGTGCTTACATCTATTTTTCGTCGTCACATATTCTTGTTTCCCATTGAGATTTAAATGATGTCTGGCACGCCTACTAAAGCTGCTAAACGACAATTGATTACCCCCTAGCAGCTTCAGTAGGCGTGACAGACATCTTTAGGTGCCTTTTTAATTTTTAAAGAAAATCATTCAACAAAATTTTTAAAAACATTTTTTAGTAAGAATTCCTTGGAGATGGATCGATCCACAGTTCTTAAGGTGGAGACCATTCCCAGAGCCAACCGACTAACTTTGGATCGATCTATCCCCAAGGGGATTTTCGCTAAAATAAGTTTTAAAATATTTGTTAAATGATTTTCTTTAAAAAATTAAAAAGAAGGGAGTTTTTGTGATATTTTGATCAGTCCCTTAGTTTTTAACGAAGATTTGATTACTGTACTTGTTGCATGTAATTCCTTTTGTATAACCATTTTAGCAAACAAATTTTTGAAATTTTGATGTTAAGTTTATAATGTTGTATTAATTTCTGTTAATTGACGATGAAAATTAGAGTCACACAATGGCAAGAAAACCTTTTTCTTATCTGGTCGAGCCTAGGTCTGTAGAGAAACATTTGTTTGCTGTCGGTTTATCAAAATAAACAGGGTATTTAAATACTTTGGATAACAAAATTGCTGAAGTCAACCATAAAAAGGTACGGCTCTAAGTGATAAGTACTTATAATACAATCATAGGGACCATTCCCGCAGACATTTGGATCGATCTATCTCCCTGGGGAGTCTCCATAAATAGCTGTCAACTTGACCGGCTTAAATGTCTAGTAATGCCTAGTATAGCTGATAGGGGGTACTTATCTTTACCCCTAGCTGTTTTGGTAGTTTGACAGACATTTAAGCTGGTTAGTTGATAACAATTTAGTGAGACTCCCCAGAGAGTTAGGTCGATCCAGATGGATCGATATATGTATCATATGGGAATCCAGTCTTAGCGAACGAGACAGGATAGCTATTTAGCTATTGAAACGGGGAGATGGTCAAACCGTCCACGAAATACAAGACTTTGTTCATTTGGAATTAATGGAAATTGCATTCAGATAGAAGAGTATGCGATCTGTTATTGCCCAGAAACGAAAGAGTTAAGACATGACTACAACAACAGTTTTGACAATGCAGGCATTACGGCTTTTTTCAGTAATCGGGTGACCTTTGTGGCCAATTATGTTCATAAATGTTTGATGTTGTCGGAGACGGAGAGGTTGAGTGATTAATTGTACGTGTAATGTGCTTCTTTGTTCTGTTGAGGTTTCTACTTAAATATTATTTTCTGCTCGTAACTGGTAAAAAATAAAATCTGTATTTGTATGTAGTTACCTGCTGGTCGTCCTGGGGATGGCGAGTTCAGGCCATGAAGGCTGGAATAAGCACCATAATTACTTCTTCAGCAAATAATTTTTCCCTGAAAAAAAAAACATAACATAAAATGCAATAAACCATCAAACCTTCAAATTTATCTGGGGTCTAAGATATCAAGAATTGTTCGCATCAGAAAAATGGCCAATGGTGAAATATAGTATTATGCAATTGAGCAAGTATCGTCAACGCAGAAATAAGCATAGCAATTCTATCTTACATTATCAATACACTACTTACAACAGATTGCTGTCCTCGTCAGGCTCCAAATTTTGGGTTTACGTGTGGAAATTGTAGTAATGTGGCACCAGCTTTACTTCCTACACCTCGCTGCTGTTTCTCCGTTTTCTGGTGACCTTGACTTTCTGAAAACTACTCACCAATATCCTCACCTTGATAAGGATACCCCTTTCCTTACAGTAGCCTCGATGGAAAATTTTAAAAGTCTTTTTATGTGGTAAGGCACAGTTGAGCCCCTTTTCGAGTACGATATTTGAGTCTGATACAATCGAAATTGTTGAAGCATCCATAATTTATTACATGGTATCTAGTGGTCGGGGTAAGCAATGAGATTGCATAAGTCTAATAAATACAGTGACCCCCCTCCTCCCCCTAAAAATATTAATATTGTGTAGGAGAAGACAAGATGGGATTTCTACTCACAGCATCTCCATTGATTAATGTACAAAATGCACGGTTCAGATTTAGTCATTTAACGAGTAACATTTTGTTCCTTTTCATGCCATCCCAATTTGCCGCATATACACGTACATTCATTGCCAATTGAATTGATGCGTTAAAACCAATGATTTCTTTTGAAAAGACAGAAGCTTTTTTACAATTGACAAGCCTTAGGCCCACTGTGTTTACAAATTGGAAATATTTCATTTTGTCAAAATTTCTCTGCAGTTATTTCACAAGTTATTTCACTTTATATTGTATGTAAGCATAGCAACAGAATGAAGCTACATTTTATATCGTACATCCGGTGATACTTCATGAAGTGTTTTATAAAATGGCTTATGTACACACTCCGTTTTTGCTATTATATATAAACTGTCTCCGAATATATATTCCCGCCGGAAAGCTACCTTACCAAAAGGCCGCATCGTCTCCCAACCCTGCCCCGTATGGTCGAACAATAGAGGCCGCATGATAATTAGAGGGTATGAGAATCGACAAGTAATCCTTATCGGACACCCAAATTAGTCGGTTCAACGAACACGCTCTGCTCCTTCTTAATTGCCTCCCTTAAGTTTCCTATTATAGCTGATGCAAAGAGATTGCTATCGACACGAGCAAACAACACCGGGTTATGTTGTATCAACTGCACAGAAGACTAGAGTAAAGGCGGATCGAATATGAGAACAAAACTCTGAAGAACAAATCAGGCTTAGTTTTAGAACACTTATAACAATTTTATTTGACGTTCACTTAATTATAACAAGTCACGATCAACACAAGGGTAGTTAAAATGAACAATTTTAAATAGGTAATACATCAAATAAATAACAATGTCTCAATATTTTATTACATGTGGTGCTAGTTTAGTAACCTGACGCACCACCTTCTCTCTCAATTACTGCTGGAATCACCTTCTTTAGGTGATTAATGTATTTATTACAAGTGTTTGTGCTTAGATATAGTTTTGTTTTACTTCGCGATAGCAGAAAACCCCGAAGCTACGTACCTATGTGTTTTGAATTATTGAAATTGATATGTTACAACGAGAACACTTTATTGTAGGGTCGTACATGTATTCTGTTAAGAATGCTTGAGGCCGAAAGCAACAAATCACCTCTTCAAATGAGTGTCGATTTATACCGTTCACTTGGCAGGTGACACGCTGGCACAGAAATCAGTGATATAAACATGTTATATTAAACAAAATACTATCTGGCCATTAAGGAAGTCCAGATGCACAAACAATCTTGTTGACACGTGTCAGTTGATTGATAATTAGGTACAATTGAATAGTTTGGATTGAAGAGAGTCATCGCAATGCTAACATTATTTTTAGACGACACGTGTACCACAGTAGTGTTTATGTAATAATCAGAGCTTAAGAATAGAAGATAATCAGAGCAGAGGGATGCTTGGAGATGGTGCGGTCTGGCTTCAGGTGAACATGCTATCTGATGTGTACATGATAGCTCTAAACCATAAGATTTAAGGTAGAAATTCTGTAACGGATTTTATTAAAGTCCAGTTTACAGTAATTTAATAAGGATCTGTCATTGTTTTAAAGGTTCCGATCAAATAAGAAACGAGCAACATAAAGAATAAAGTTTATTAAAATCCATCAATTCAAAATGTACCAGTAAGTAATAGTCCTGTATGTGAGGTGAGCCCACTGAAAAACAAAGAGGCCGATGTCGTTCTTGCCCAGGGGGCGTGAGAGCGAGGGTATGAACGTTTCCTGACTCTCGCTGATTCCCACCGGAACTTATTGATACTGTTGTAAAGCAAATTACTTACACTTTCACTAATTACGGATAACAATTAAAGCGGAATCAAAAGAGTAAAAGGACAGATAGTTATTGAGTGTAAGTTAAGTTTCTCCAAGAGTCAACAAGTGTAGAACATGTTTTTAGTGTCAGAAAAAGATGGGAAAGGTCAAAGTCAGTAACAGTTAATGTGATTGGTTAATTTCATAACATATAATAATTTTGATCATCTATTTATCACATGATAACTGAGTTTTGGATAAGGTCCAAATATGAGTAATCCAAATAATATTTTAGATATCTTTTATTGAAAACAAGTCTCTTATGGATTACCTAATAAGGAAATGTTGCATAGTGACTTGCAACATGCGAATGGAAAATATTTTGTAATCACTCAAAGACAATGGAAAAGAAAACAAGTAAATGCGTGATCAGTACGGAGAAATTGAGTATAAATATTTGTGAAGTTGTATGAAGCAAGAGTCGGTGAATAAACGTTCGAAAGCTCCAAACTGCTGTCGTCATTCCTCACTTTAACAAGTGGTGGAGGAAAAATCGATCCCCGCTCTACAGAGACAAGCGGAACGGTGATACAGTTATCGTGATAACGGCAGCAGGAGCGTAGACACCGAAGGGTTCACACCATCCACCCAAGGGCAAACATCGTCAGTGCCCCAGTGCAGCGAAAACTGAGTATGCTGGGTATTGAAAATCGCCAAAAGTCATTACCCTAGCAACAATTAATAACTGAAAAAAATGCTGATGTTGTCAGATTTGACTTTAGCGCCAGAAAAGTTTACTGGTAACACAAACGAAGATGTAGAAAGGTGGTTAAAACAATTTGAAAACTATACGCAGTATAAAAAACTAGAAGATGAACAAATCACCGCCTTATTTCCTCTCTTACTGAATCAAACAGTGTT